ATATTATTTTCATAAATACGCAGAGTCAGTCCCTTATTGATATAGTGTGTGTTTTATTCAAACTCTTCATTTGTAGTATAAGTGTTACATAGTGGTTTCATGTGTCTGCACTCAGCAGTTGATGCTGCAGAGCTGTCTTCACTTTTTATGCACTCAAGCAGCAAAGTACATGAAACCCAAGCCTGACCATGTCATATTTAGTTGTTTAATCCCTTTTAGAAGCAGTTCCTGTGCTGGAGGACACATGGAGTCAGACTGGGCAGGCAAATGGGGAACATCTGAAATGAACGATAATGGAGTTTTAAAGGAAGGTGAATTTCACCTAATAATGTTATTGATAACATCAACATTATTAATTTATTTAGCACATAAATTACAAAATGGATGGAGGATTCATCCAGCAGCTGTATTTTGCCTTTGGCAGTAGTCATGCTGCTACTAATTTCATCTTATTGACTCCATCACAGGTTTTACTAACAGGGGTGTCACACATCTCGTAATACAAAGGGAAGAAAAGAATATGACATTTTTATTGTTTTGTGAAAGTTCTGGCTCAGCACATTAGATACTGATTCCATTCTCTTTGCACTGCAGACCTAGCAAAGTCACATGTCTTAAAGCGTATAAAAAGGAAATGAAGAATAGAAGTTTGTTATGTGATGTTGATCCATTTTTTTGGAGAGCAAAATGTTGCTGCTTGGAATCCTGATGGCATAAGGCAGAGACTAACACCCTCCCACTGTAACTCATTGCCTTTCAGCGGACTACCACAAAGGATGAAATCTGGCCACAAGTAATTTGGTGTTCTCCAAATGTGTAGTAGAATAAAGAGTTTGTATATGACATTAATGACCTGCTCAAAGACTTTTCTCATTTTCATTGCTGGAAATCTGAATTACACCAATGTACACTGAGCAAAACTGAGAGTAAAATATCACTAGCTAGAGGAGAAATAATTTAGCTAATAATTTGCATAATTTATATAGCTAATATGTATAGACTTTGTATAATTTGTATAGGCTGTGATTTTCTGTAAGGAGTGAATTTAACTATATAGTAATTCAATTTACTGAAAATACATATTACAATTATTTGTTTTGGCTGGCTCATTTCGCGCTAGGTGAAAATTAGGTAACAAAAGTCAGATCTCGACATACAACAGAATATGTTATAGGCCATGCAACCTCCTTGTAGTCTTAATTTGTATGTTGTCGCACTGTGTGTAGATACTAATTGCGGCTGGATCAATGCAGCGTCATGCTTGAGAAGCTGTGCCAAAACCCTGTATCGCGAGCTCATGTACACCTAACTCAGCGTTGCACTTCATTGTGCTCCCAGTTAACTGGGGTTAAATCACGTGGAGTTAGATAGGTTGTGTGCATCTGTGGGATAGACTTATCCAAAGTCATCAACAGAGTTCCATATTGTCTGCTATGTCACTTGCTTTTGATGTGACTGTCGCAAGCATAGTGCATTAATTTCAGTAATCCCTTCAAAAGGTCTCAGTAACCATCCTGTGCGTCTATATTTCATTATGTTGCCTTCATATTCTCTCCACTCTGCGTCTGGTACTTGCTTATTATTTGTAGTTCATGGCATGTTCTGCAGGCTCCATTTTTCTTCCAAGACACTTTTATCCCAAAGGCAAAACCAGAAGCAATATATGTTTGCATTTCTTTGTCTAAATTGAATTTTTGAGTCTTTAGTGAAGGTTTATTGAAGGTTTGATCTTCGATCTGTGAATAAGGTTCCGTGTGTCATCATGTGGGAGTACTTCCTTGCATGAATGACGGATGAATGATTAGTTAACTTTTATTTTGGCCTTTTAATCATTTTACCCCATGGCAAAGTCTTTTGGTTCGGTTTTGAGCGTAAGTAGATTTTTCAGTAATTCTTCAAATATTTAATTTAATTGTAGAAAAGAGGATGAAGGGAAAATCCTACTGCTGTTTTTCAAGCTGTGTACAGCTTCTGTACAGTTCCTGTGTGTGGCTCCCACTGAAGCAGTTTGAAAACATGCCGAACTATTTCACTAATGTATTACAAAAAATCTTAAAAAGTGAGAAGGACCATGGATGAATGAAGAAGTGAGTGTCCTTGGCAAGATGTATTCTCGTTTATTTTCCTGCTTCAGTGTGTCCTCTCCCTTGATTTCTTTGTTCACATGCATTTTGTGAAATATATTGTAACACAGGTTATTAATTACGAAGGATCATTTTTAGTTTTAGGTAGTCCTTTTCTTCAGCTGGGCTCAGGAATGTTTGTTTCTCAGTAACGTTTTTATAGATGTGAGGCCTGAAGAGATAAATGAGACAAGATTTGTGGGAAGAGGTAATATCTTTTATTAGACCAACTGATGTATCTGGAAAAAACAGAAGAGCTTTCAGGCACACAAAACCTTTTCCAGGTCGGGTTCTCTTAGCTTTGAACTGCCTGATAACTTGACTTGTGCCTGTGAAGCAATAAAAGGCGTTTCTTGATCTTTCTCTTTTTATTAATAATACTATTTGCGAGGCATTCATATATTGCAGCAGTTAACACTTCCCACAGCTAAAGCTGATAATTCTGTTTTTAATTCTGATTAATTCCTTTAATTCTTAGAATAATAATATAATAATTTTACATTCAGACTAGTAGTCTCTTAAAATACTAGATTTTGTTTTCCATGTGATCAGAAGTGTAAATTAACCTATAAAATATCTGATACCTCACTGATGAATCATAAAGATCTGTATGGTTTTGAACCTTATCTGAAAAACTGCCTCTCTTTCCAAGTCAATGTATATGTTTTGAGATAAGTGGGATGGGCAAGATGGCATATTCTGCAATTTCAGTTATTTAATAATACTCTGCTGCTTTTTTTTTAATTAATGGGAAGGGCATAGCTTTTAAATAGTCTCTTTGTTATTTACTAGGTACAATACAAATAAATAGATATCTATTGTAGGAATATTGTGTGTGAGATATATACCCCATTTGGCTGGTAAGCTTTGGGATAACTGAAAGTATTACTGCAGATGCTAAAATTTTCAGTGTATTTCATACACTGTCACTTTCTATCGTTCTTGCTCGGACTGAGTGCTGTTATGCCCTATGAGAAGTCTTATTTGAATCTGAAAAGAGAATTTACAGAGTCTAGCAGCACTGAGAACCGCAGAGACGGTGGGTGTCCGCGTGGGTAAAACTGAAAACATAGGACAGTCTGTTCACTACCTTGCAAAGAGCTGTGCTAGCAAGGAGGCATCGTTACTGTTCTAAATAAATAAAACGTGAAAGAATATTAATCGGTTTATAATGTAGGAAATGGATAAAGGATTTGTCAAGGTGTTTGGCATGCCCAAGCATTTTGCGATGATAGTGCTGCGAGGTTCTAATGTCATCAGCTCTCCTCCGTTTCCCTGGAGCTGAGGGCCCTCATCATCCTGTAGAAATACTGCTAGTGAGGTTTTCTTGGCAGCTTTTTAGCACAGACACTATTCTGCTGAGGGATGTTTTCCAAATTACCCAAGGACAGCAAACTGAATATTTCCTGGAGTATATTACAGAATTAGTGAAGGGTATTTGGCTAAGTGCATATTGCACATCGTTTTCCTGCATCTTGCTAGGCTATGCATTGAGTTCCATGACAGTATTTCATTTTTAGAAACCTTAGAAAGACAAAGACGTTCCTTGAAAGGTAGAAAATAAGGGACATATAAAACCCAGAACAATATGTCATCTAAAAGTTCAGATCGTGATTGATAAGTGTGGTTTTTTTATTGTTGGCTGTTAGCTGAATAATAGATTGTTATTTCAATAAGTTTTGACTGGAGCAATTTGTCTTGAAATACTTTTTTCACCTTTTTCTTTTAGGTCCTTTGTAATATAGTTCTGTAATTTTATTTTTTTCATACACAAATGCAGCTAACTTTTTCAATGTTGAGCAGCATCACATAAAAGCCTGTTTTCAGTTTATAAATTGATGAAAGACTGAATTCAGAAGAAATGTATGATATGCAACAGTAGTTACCTACTGCATTCTGTGGCAAAAGAAAAAAAAAAATATTGAGGGGGAGGTATGCTGTCTTTCTGATCTAAAAAGCCATTTTCACAGTTCTTAAACAGTCATTGTGGGGAACATTTCCAGCTTATCACAACAGAAAAAGGCAAGTTATTTACTTGTCAGAAAGGCCTGAACCCTAGCAAGCATACATGCTGCTCGTGGAGGTAAGGCTCCTGACAGTGTCGCACCTTAACATGTATAGTTTTATTATTAAATTATACAAGGCCTTTTCCTTTCTTCATTTTCCTCCTCTGACATGACAGTGCAGAAATTACTGTAATGCATTTCATATTTGAAAAGGCTTTGCTCTCCTACATTGCTTCACTTTGTAGAGACCTTCCCTGTGTCTATATTCATTAATTGGTTCTCCTCTTTGTGCCTAGATGATGAGTCTTTTTTCACTACAACCTTTCTCCCTTTTCCTCAGTTTCACACTACTTAAATATGTCATTTTTTTGTCAGTTGGAGTAATTTACTGTCCGTGTTTAAATATTAGCCTTAGTTTGGTCTTTTGATACCACCCCAGTTAGAAGGCATGGAGTACAAGAAATGTTTGAACACGTTTTGGAATAGAAATGATAGCACTTCGGATTTGAATGGTGAAGACGATAACCAGCCTTCGCAGTAAATACGCCGTGAGAGGGGACAATGCAGCCCGAGCTTTACCTGTGTGAGCTCTCAGTCTGTATCTTTGCAAACTCCATCATAAATTATCAGATTTTTTTTCAGTGCACATCCCACAAAACAAGAGTCGCAGGGCAGAATCCCCCAAGCCTACGTATGCCTCTTCCAGAGGGGACACGGCTGGTGGCAGCATGGAAGGTTTGATCCTTGTATTTTGAGAGTCCCTGATACTCCTTACGGTTAGCATCAGGCTTGGTGCTCTCAGCTGGGCTCTTCTTGTGTGATGCCAGATGTGGTACATTAGGGAACAGGAGACGTGGTCCCAGCCGCTGACATGGCTCTGTGCAAGCTAAAGCTTTACCAGAATAGTGGAGATCCTAAAAAGGATCTCCACAGGTAAGCCTTTATACAAAACTGCGAGGGCTTCCTAGGGATATGACACTTACTATATAAGCCAGACTTGAAAGGTTTTTCTATGTCTTTGTTTGTTTGTTTGTTTTAATTTCAGTAATGGTGGTGTTTCAGTAAGTGGCTATTCCAAGCAGGATGAATTAGGTAACTTCCTCCTTGTAATTTATTCATGGTGTTCCTATTAAGAAATAAAACTAACATGAGTAATTTGAGAAAAATGTGGGCATCCTGTCTGTGACTTCAAGTCCTGAAAGTGACTTCATTATAATGTTGATCTCCTCTGGTTGTGGGGTTCTTTCAAAGATATGACTACTTCTACATTAAAATTTAGACAGACATTTTACCACAAGGCAAGAGGAGAGTTTCCACATGAAATATGAAGTGTTCTTGTTGTTACAGCATATTTTCTGTTAATGCTGTCAAAATGACTTATTAGTTTAGCATTTCTCGTTGAAATATATTCTGTCTAATAATTTGCTTTTTAAATATTTCTATTCTAAATACTTATCAGCCCTCCACCCATTATCTGTGATATACTTTTCCCTTTTCCTGGAAGGGCAGGAAACCCATTCCTCTTCCCTGTAACTGGCTGTATGAGACTGTTCCCTTTAACAGCTTCTGGCAAGTGCCCCTCTGGGTAGCTTCTGGCAATGTACGCGCTGTGCAGAAACCACCATAATTTAACCGTTTATGTCCCTTTGATCTGCTTTTACCTCTAACAATATAAGAGTTATGAAAGAAAGCAGGAGCTTTGAAGCCAACCATTTGTCTCATTGTCTTACCAGCAGTACTTGAATAACTCTATCTTGATAGGCCCTCAATTGTGTTATCACCAAGTTAATTTTTCCCAGAAACCCCACTGAACTTTAAACATTATGGTATGTAAGCAAGTAGTTTACTTCTACTATATGTATATAATTAGATGTATATGTATATATAGTATAGAGACATGGTAGTAGGTATGTTTATGATAGCTATTTAGAGAAAATCAATCAAATTACTTAGAATATTCTTCTCGGTGTCTTTGTACCTCCTAGAGCAATCATAATATTACTATAATTTGTCTCTATTTCTGTCACGCTTAGCACCTCTCAGAAGAGGCTGGTACCTTGCATGACCAAACACTTTATCATAAGCTGTAATATAAAAAAACAGAACAGTTTGGGGCATACTTATTAATATATGTATGATTCTTCTCACTGAAGCAACGCTTTCGATGTTAATCATCATAGACTTGGAAAATTGAAGTGATTCTTGTCTAAAAGGGAAATTTTATAGAAAGGAAATTCAACTGCTGCACAAAGTACAGTTACTAATCTTAAAGACCTTTGTGGGCTTCTTGCAGCATCATCCAGCAAGGATTTAGGACATGCGAAATTCTTGGTGTGTGTTGACAGGGAACTAATAATGGAAACGGAGTCAGTGGAAGGATGTTTCAGATGGTTCTGTTACTGAATGACCTCCAGACAAAATAACAACCTCTGAAACCCCTCTCGTGTGCGATAGCGGCAAATTCCGATGGCTCTATTCATGTGTGATCCTCCTTTGTCTCTTCTGTTTGGAGGAGATACTGAGAGATTCCTGGTGCAGATAAGATAAACGAAAGAGTTCCCAACACATATATCTATATCAAGGTTTCAGCTTTACAGCTGTATCTGTTTCCATCTAATTGGAACTAGCCTGACACTGTCCAGAAAAAAGTCCTTCATGTGCCAAGCAGAGATACTGTAACTCTGTAGATGTGAAGCTACAGTAAGTCTAGTGGATGTCACCCTATGTTTCTTTCTGACAGTAGTTTACATTAAAAAGAAGAGTTTCTCTTAGTACAGTAATAATTAGTCACAAATATATTTTACATTCCAAGACCATGAATTAATTTCAGTTCATAATAAAACTAATTAATACTATGGAATTATGCTATTTTCATAATGCGAGACATAGTGGTAAAGAAATGAGCTAGGTTAAAACCAATTACCTGAGCCTGGAAGACAGCAAAATGTCTGTTATTTACTATATGTATATGTACATAAACTAATGTTTGACTTTAGAGAAAATGTGTAACAGTTTGCTTTGATTTTAGCCCTTTGGTGTGGTGGTACATCACATTATACGCTGTACCATGCTGTTCCCCACCATGGATCTTCTGGGTCCGCACACCTCAGGCCTTGATATTTTGCACTTAAATGACAATCCTGTTGATTTCAGTCGACTTCAACAAAATTTTCAACAAATAAAGACAGCATCATAAGACTGTACATTAGATTTGCTTTTCTTTCCCATCCAGAGAATCCTGGGGTTTCTGAGACCAGAAGTCGCTGGCAACTTCCTGATGAATTAGGAAGGTTTACTGACAAATAGCTCTTTGTTTTATCCAAAATGTTGCATACACAACGTCTCTGATAAAACAAACGTTCCCTGAATTTTAAAGAGAGTCGGTCAAAATCAGACTGAAACACGTTTAAGGAAAGCCACACCAAACACAGCCCCAGTAAGCACTCAGCTTTTTTATTCTATTCTGTGAGCAATAGCCCAGAAGGTCGTTCAGGCTGTACATAGCAGGTGGTCAGAAAAATATCATATGACTCTGTATCTGTCTGCATTTCAAGTAAAATAACTGTGATGCCTGTACAATCATTTTGACCATAACTTGATGAAGAAATACAGGAAAAAGTGATTTATTTTCCTAATGTATATTCTTGGGGTTTTTTATTTGGTTTTGTTTTGTTTTGTCTTTTTAAATCCTTGTGTTAAACAGGAACACAGATTTTTCTGATTGGGACCTTTTCTGTGCAGTTGTCGTACAGGTTAAGTGTCTGGTTAAATTAATAGGTGAATATGTGTGTCCTTCACACAGCATTCAAACCCCGGTTCAAGTCCATTGGTTATAATTAGTACAGTAAAATCTTTCAGTAATAAAGATATTGGTGTTTATAGGGATTAAAAGACTGTGACTATCATAATGGTAGTCTATATTTAATGCAGTATTCGTTTTTGTAATTCTTATGCCTTCTTTTTTTGTCACAGGTTTTTCATTATTCTTACACTGCTTCATATGTGATTTATAACATACACACAAGGTAGGTCACATTGTTTTTTCAATATGATGTCATTGTCAGTGGTTCTATACATAAGGTAATGCCAGTGTGTTCAAGTAAAAATGTTTACGTTTTTTCAAGGGAAGTTTGGGAGTTAAACCCTCCAGAAGTAGAGGATTCAGTTTTACAGTATGCAGCCTGGGGTGTCCAAGGACAGCAGCTGGTAAGCATGTCATTAAAAATGCTATGGTTTAATAATGCATTTACACCAGACAGACTGAAGTAAAAAAAAAAAACCTTAAAAGCCTTAAGATAAGTTTTGTTATATATTTCTGCATGATGCTGGTATGGTCCTCTTACCGCTTTTAGGGGATCTATTTATTTTTATTAAAAACATGTAAACATGTTTTTTCCAGTCTAATCCCAATAAGCAAATTGCACAATTGTTGAAAGAATCACATCTTCATCTAAATATGCACTCCAGTAATTTTCAGAATAAGATCTTTATGGCTACTACTATGAGGGAAGGGAAGTTGAAGGTAAAGAGAAGTTTTCAAGTGCAAGATCAATGAAAACTGTGGGCAAAAGCTTAACATTCAAAAGTGAATGTGATGGATTCAATAAAAAGTGGTATTTTCATTTCAGTCTGAAAATTACTGCCAAGGTCAGTTGTGCTGCATTGAATTCATAATAACAAAACCAGAAATGCTATGTTTCATATATTGTTTCCTACCAAAAGTTTTGCCATTTTTTATGAACATAAATCATCCATGATCATCATGACCAATCTCAATACAAGAAGAAAAAAATTGTGAGTTTAGAGCAGCAGTGATTTTAAACTGACCTCTGTTGGTAATTGAAGGCAAGAGAAAGACTTACAAAAGCTTCAACTCTCTGAATAAGAAATTCAGATAATCCTTGTTACAATGTTCTAATAAGCTCATTAATGCCCGCAGGCATGATCCCGAAGCCTCTTTGCACATCTGACTTGTCCATGTAGAGAGGCTGTAAGTTGAATGTCTAGAGAATATACCCCATTGCTTATATGATTCATCAAGATGGTGGGAATGTAAAAAATGTTTCTGGTTAGACTGTATTGCATTAAGCAAGTGGAGGCAGGAAGGAAAAAGCAGTCGGAACATGCTTGGTATGTTTTAATAGTTAACCACATTAATTTATTAATAATGAGAGCATGGTGACAGGATTGATGGTAACAAATACCTAGGTTATTTACCAGTGTTATGGAATGCAGCAACCTATGTAGGTTGTAGCAGAAAGGCGATGCATTTGCAAAACTGAGCACAATTAAAAAAATATTTTAAATTAAATTGCAGTTCATAAGATTTGTCTGTGCTGTACCTCTGATTAGTAATCTAAAGTACAACTAAAATTACATGGAGTGATTACTGAGAAATTAATTTTTTGTTTTCTTGAGATATATCTTAAGAACAAGGGCAGACTTACCAATCATACACTTCAGAAAAATAATAAATCAGAATAATGCTATCTTTATCAGTTTTGCCTAGATTGTCATTCTGGAAATATATATGAATGCTTTCAGATACGGGCACAGGTGGACTGCTATTAAGTCTCAGAACTGCAAAAAAATAGGTGGTCATTTTAGGTACAACCTTAATCATCCAAATTTGAAAACGTTAGCATAATTTATACTTCACTGAGGATAATATTACTCATCTTTGTAACAGTCCCTAGTAAAGTTAATGTCATGCTTTAAAAAGATCTGTTCTACTGTGGGCTTTATGGTGCCATATGGTCTGCAGAATTAGGAAATAATAACTTTGATTAAAACACAAAATCTGCTGTGCACTCTGAATGATACCAAGTGTTGTCATATAGATATAAACCTGCAATGACAGTATACTGAAGGTCACTTACATAAGAATTGCCAGTAAGAAGGATGTCCTCTTGAGGCTGTTTATGTGGTAAAAGGAGGTTTCTAAAGTGAAAGAAGTGCCTTGCCGCATTACCCTCCCACTTCAGCAGCAAGCCAGAAATGTAGAAGAAGTATGAATGAATAAAGACTGTTGTGAATAATGGTTGTTGCTACTGTCCAAAGGAACAGCTGCCTCTAGCAGAAACAGGACAGTAGATACCATTCCAGCAGAATAGGTTAAGCAGAGAAAAGATGTGTGACTGAGGACACATTGCCATAATGGTTCTCAGTTATAAAATTTGTCATTAGAACAAACACTTTGTCAGTGAGTTTTGACTAAAGATAGTACAGGAGGCAATCAGCAGTGAAACTGGGTAAAGAGGAGGTTGTAAAGGGAAAGATCTAAAGCATGGTAATCTGTCAGCAGTAGCTATCGATAGCACATACCTGGGTTCAAAGAAAGATGCAGTCTCACAGATCCATGTTGCCAAATACACTACAATTGGTTTACCAAAGTCCCTTCTGAAACAATACTTATTTGTCTTTTCATATAATAATGGAAATAGTAATAATTCGTAATAAATAAAACAAGCAGTGGAATACATACTCCAAACAAAATGATCATATTAACATGAGTAATCTCCAAGAGCCATTCATTACAACTGAAGAACGAATTAACTGTATACACACAAATTTTGCCTAGAGAGACCAGAGACCCATGATACATACTCTGTGGCCATCACATAAACAAAGTATATGTAGAACTCCAAAATGAAGTGGAGTAGCACCCTTCCAGGTGCAGTGCAGAAGAGAATAGCAATATCATAGCCATGACTGGTCAGCAAAATTGGTACGAGATGTGAAACAAAAGGCACGGGTATGCCTGACTGGGCCAAAGATCCTACCTTCATGCTTTAATTATTTGGAAGGTCCTGGATTAAGTCCAAATGATCTGTGGTAACACATGGACTTGGATCACCTATTTTCAATAAATTGGCCATAGAGTAGAATAAGATGTTTCCAATCCTTAGTTCTGCGGACAACCTAAGTAACAATATAAGCTACACAAGAATCTTAATTTGAGTTCTTCAAATGACGTGAAATAGTCAAGAGTTTCAAATAGATAATATAAGAAGATGAAGAAAAAAACAGAAATGAAATGTTTGAGCAGGAAAATTTATATGAAGCCAGGAATGTGCTTATTGCACAGAGGAGGGAATAGGGCTGCAGTGAAATCAAATACACAGTAATACTTTACATCCTTGTGAAAATCATGATCAGTCTAAGTTGTCTACTGTTATGAATAATTTCTAGGGCTGTCTAATGGGATGGCTGGCCACATGTGGCTAGTGAAGAACAAGAGTTAGGTTTATATCAGATACTGGGCCATAATACCATTGTTTTGAAGCTACCACGGTGGTTGCAAGACATTTAGTTTCTTGCTATTTACCTAGAGTAGAGGATTTTGTAAAGATTAAGAGGAAAGCTCAGAGAAACATCTGCTGTTTGAGTCATGACATTTTGGTGGTGAAATTGAAAATGTTTGCCATGGGGGAGAACAAACTTTTATCTAATGAATTAATGTATTTTAAGGTCACATAGCTGTTATTTTTGAGAACTGTTTTCAAGGTCGCACTCTTTAAATTGTTGTCTTTTAACTGTGTTAGAACTGTGCCAGATCTAAAATACCATTTCTGTGTGTCTTAGTATGTTAGGGAACTGTTTATGTATTTGCTAAATATTCCTCATATTTGCTCATCTTTGATTAAAATTTTGAAAGAGATCAGTTGATTATCTCTTTACCTCACCTCTATAGAATCCATTACTGCAGCATTAAGTATTTCCAGGGAAAACAAACCAGCACAACTAGATACCTAATTGGTTTCATCAACATTTTTCTGCCTCCAGTTTACTTGATTAGAGACCTCATTGCATATGTTTGAGAAAGAGATATCCCATACCTGGTAGGAAGGCTTTACTGAGGAGGAGAATGCTTTAGGGGTTTTTAAAGGGCCTCTGGTGTTGAAATACCCAATTTTTATCCAATGTTCTCTCTTCTTTGGCCTTACTTCTCCAATAGTTTGTAGCAAAGGTTTTCATGTTTCTGTGCTTGTATGTGGCACAGGGGAGACAGCCCTGTCTGGACCTATCTATGGAGATGTATCGCAGTAGAAGCCTGAATATAAAAACTGACCTCTGATCTCCAGTGTATGCAGAGTTTTCTATGAAAGCTGTAGTGTTTCTGTGCAGTGCTTCTTGTGATACAGATAGTTCTTCTGATTAGTCATCGGATGGATTACTTCAAGTAGCTCCCAGTGAAGTGTGGTTAGAAGTTGTTCAGTTTTACATAGCTTTTTCTTGAAAGTCTTACATAAAGTTTCTTCTGCCTGGGTGGTAACATGTTGTTTATTTTATACAAAATACTTTATTTTCACTTTATTCTATAAACATATATCCATGTAAGTCACTTTGCCTTTGTATTTATAATGGGTATTTTATGTTATTTATTGCATTGCGCTCATTTTTCTTTTGATATATTAAGTGTTTTTGAAGGGAGCTTGAGTTACATATTTGGATGGATCAGTATAAATAATGATCGATTGACTTATGTATGAATGTCTATGCATAAATAAATGCATATTTTAACAAAGCAAAAATCAAGAAAATAGTAAAGCTATCCAGAATACTAAAAAGGTTGTTTTGTAAAAGCTTGATGGCTTTCTTTGTCAAAATTTGATGCCATCAACAAAACATAGCATTATCAAATGGTGGGACTGAAGATGAGCTTTTACTATGCTTTAACATGATTTAGGTCATCATTGTGTAGAATTACCTATTATCCTGTATACACAAAGAACAATTTGTTGACTGTAGCTGAATTGTGGATTTAGGATGCTCTCATCGATTTTTAGAAAATATTTTAAATATTAGAAAACAAGAAAATTACCCTCTTGTTCCACAAAATGGAACAGGGTACTCACAGATAATAGGGCTTAGAAGCTGAAGCTTTTAGAAAAAGAATGAAAAAAAAATCCAGTGAAAAAGACCTCACCTTATATTAAAACTATCTAAAAACAGGTGTACAAACAGAAACCCAGAAACAAAACAGAGCAAAATCTGCTTTAATTGTTATTAATAAATGTACCAGTTCAAGAACTCTCTACCCCTCTGCTTTGTGATCAGTCACCTTTATCCTGGTTGTCTTGTTTGGAGGTTCATTTTGCCTTCCCCCCCCCCCAACACCTATTGCCCCACAAAAAAGCAAATATCTATCAGACTGTTGAATTGCTGTATTAACATGACATTTCCTTACAATTGCCTTCTCTTCA